TGTCAGGGCGCTGTCCCGGCCCTGCCGCTCCCCCCGGTGTTCCCGGTGTGTGTTCCCGGTGTGTGTTCCCGGTGTCCCCGGTGTTCCCGGTGCCCTCACCTCGGTGAGTTTCCTCCGGGCGATGGCGCCCGCGCCCACCCCCCGCCGGTGCATCCCGGCCCCGCCACCGGCGCGCCCGGTGTGACGTCATCAGCCCGCGACGCGGGGCGGAGCCACAMAAAATGGGCGGACTCACGCGTGAAAGGGGCGGAGTCACGCGCAAAGGGGCGGAGATACACGTGAAGGGGCGGGGTCACACGCAAAGGGGCGGAGTCACACTCAAAGGAGCGAAGTCACACGCAAAAGGGGCGGAGTCACATGTAAAGGGGTGGAGTCACACGCAAAGGGGCGGAGTCACACGCAAAGGGGCGGAGTCACAGGTGAAGGGGCGGAGTCACGCGCGGAGGGGACGGGGCCGAACACGTGTAAAGGGGGCGGGGCCAAGCGCGCGCCGAAAGAGGCGGGACCGGGTCACGCGCGCGGGGGGAGGGGCGGAGTCACGTGTGAAGGGGGCGTGGCCGAGTCACGCGCGGAAAAGGCGGGAACGCGTTCCTCCCTCAGGGCTCCCGCCCCGCCCACCGAGGGATGGCGGCGACACCGGCAGGGAGGAGGGGGATAAAAACGATAAAGGGGATTCTGAGAGGAGAAAGGGGGTTCTGAAGAGAAAAAGGGAATAAACGAGGGTTCTGAGGGGATAAAAGAGGATAAAGGGGGGTTCTGAGGGGATAAAGGGGGTTCTGAGGGGAAAAAGGGGATAAAGGCGGGTTCTGAAGGGATAAAGGGGGATTCTGAGAGGATAAAGGGGAATCTGAGGGGAGCAAGGGGATAAAAGGGGATTCTGAGGGGGAAAAGGGGATAAACGGGAGTTCTGAGGAGATAAAGGGGGGTTCTGAGGGGAAAAAGGGGATTAAAGGGGACTCTGAGGGGATAAAGGGGGTTCTGAGGGGACAAAGGGGGTCTGGGAGGAAAAAGGGGATAAACGGGATCTGAGGGGATAAAGGGGGGTTCTGAG